TTTTATATCTAATTATAAAATTTTAAATTTAAAAAATGGTTAAAATCAAGTAGATCTATAACCATATGAAAATCTTTAAGATGGACGGTGTAGATAATATGTTGTAAAATGCACTATTTCTGAGACTTAATTTTTTTTTATTTTTTATGATCATATATCTCGATATTGAGATGATCAATCAAAGGGTTTTTCAACATTAAAACTTTATTTTCCGATGGATTTTTGAGGTGCATACGTAATTCTCTATTTCCTTTTGGTGAGAGAGCGAAATGGGAGAAGATGGTCTTTATAAGGCATTTGAAAAGATTGAGGGCCGCTGTAACGACTTGCTTTCCTTTCTTTGTTGCCAAAGCATTCGCACTTCACCTCACAGCAGCATGCACAGTGCTTTCTTCAATCCACCAAGCAGAACCAGAGCTTGCCATTGTTAACAAAGCAGAGGTGCCTTTTGCTTCTACGGGCCCTAGGGTTTTCTTTGGCATCACTATTGGTGGCGTTAAAGCAGGCCAGATCATAGTGGAGCTCTTCTCCGACGTGGTTCCAATTACTACAGAGAATTTCAAGGCCCTGTGCATCGGAGAAAAGGGTAAAGCCCCAAATGGGAAGCCCCTCTACTACAAGAACTCCTCATTCCATAAAGTCATTTTAGGCTGGTTCTGTGCAGGTGGCGATTTTACTGGTTGTAGGGTTCTCATGAACCCCTTAGCTTGCAGAACCGGGAATCCCAAACACCGGGATGCCACTCAAGATCGTGTACATGATTGACTAAATGTGAAGTAGATGAATATAACTATAAATCGAGTGCAAGAAATAAAGCAAACACAAAAAGTACACCACAACAACACACGATTTACGTGGTTCGCCCCATAGGACTACATCCACGGCCTTTGTAATTAGAAATCTACTATCACAATGAAGATTACAGTTTTGGGTTACGAGAGAAAATACCTATCTCTAAACATCGGTAAAAAACCATCACCGATCCTCCCTTCTAAACCTGATCTCCAGATCAACCTATACCGTCGATCAATATCATCTTTCCCACCGTAATACCGTTACTTGAAAGATAACTTCGAGAGTAACATAGAGATTCTCTCTCTAGAAATGGAAGTTAACGGACTTAAAACTCATGGGAATAATGTCTCTCTCTCTCAGAGGCTATGTCTCTCTCTCTTGGAGACCCATCTCCATATTGGAGATCCTTTCCCATAACCTCCAAAGGGGTGATTCACAAAGGATGGGGTATTATGTCCTCTTTCCTTCTCTTATAAAAGTATCACTTTCTTGATTCTCAAGAAAGTAAGTTTTGTATTTCCCATAATACTCTAATCTTTAGAAGAACATAAGGGAATGGTGATTTAGCTATCACCAAACCCAACAATCTCCACCTTGATAGCAAAATCACCTTAATTGCCTTGACAACTTTCATTGAATAGATTTCTTCATACTTGCCTCCATTGTGAAATTTTCACAAACACTTCGCCTTCATATTTTTCCACTTCAAACCATGGATATTTCTTGATTTCTTCTCACTAGCATCCAATGTGGAATTTTTACAAACACTTTTCCTTCATATTTTTCCACCTCAAACCATGTAAACTTCGTCATTTATCTTTTTCTTAATATAAACTTTAGCTCCGTACACACCTGGTGCTATGATACCAATTGTAGGGTTCTTGTGAACTCCTTAGCTTGTAGAACCGGGAATCCCAAATACTGGGATGCCACCCAAGATTGTGTACATGATTGACTAAATGTGAAGTAGATGAAGACAATTATGAATCAACTGTGAGAAATAAAGCAAACATAAAAAACACACCTCAACAACACATGATTTACGTGGTTTACCATGTAAGGCTATATCTACGGCCTCGATAACTAGAAATCTACTATCACAATGAATATTACAATTTTGAATTACAAGAGATAATATCTATCTCTAAACATCGGTAAAAGACCATCATCGATCTTCCCTTCTAAACCTGCTCTTTAGATCGAGCCACACTGTCGATCAATATCATCTTTCCCACCGCAATACCGCTATTGGAAAGATAACCTAAAGTGCAACATAGAGATTTTCTCTCTCTAGAAGTGGAAGTTTACCAACCCAAAACTCATGGAAATACCACCCTCTCTTAGAAGCCTTGTCTTTCTTTCTTGGAGACTCATCTCCATATTGGAGATCAATTCCCATAACCCCTAAAGGGGTGACTCACAAAGGATGGGTATTATATTCTCCTTCACTCTCTTTTAAAGATATCACTTTTTTATTTATCAAGAAAGTCAATTTTTTATTTTCCATAATACCCTAATCTTTAGAATAAAATATGGGTATGGTGATTTAGCTATCACCAAACCCAACACTGGTGGTGAATCAACCTTTGGTGGAAAGTTTACGGACGAAAATTTCAGGGAGAAGCACAAAGGCTTTGCGGTCCTATTCATGGCTAACGGAGAAGAGCGTGATAACAATTGCTCAAGGTTCTCTATACGCCTGAACAAGGAGCCTGGGTTTAGTGGATGGTATGTTGTGTTTCGTGGGGTGGTGGAGGGGCTGGATGTGGTCCGGGCCATCCAATGTCGGCTCGTATTGAGGCAAGGTCCTCAAGCCCGATCTCATTGTAGACTGCGGCCAGCTTTAAAGACATAATGGTGGGATTGGACAGTTCCACCACCTTAACAACCAAAACAAGAGCTCCTTCTTATGCTGTTAGGGTTTCTGGCTTCTTTTCTCTCCTAGCTTTATTGCAGTAAGCTTTAGAGTTCCTAAGGTCATGTGGTTTTCTTCCTTGGATGTAGATTTTGAATAATTATAAAACATTGCAGGTCTCTTTGTTACTTAGTGTAAATTTGAAAATATTTCAAGTTTTTGACTTTTGGGAGTTAGGGTTAGGCGTTATGGCCTCTGTTTTCCAGTGAGCAATGTGTGAAATTGTCCATGTATTAACAAGATGTGTCTATATTCAAGAAATCCAAAACCAAGCTTTTAGTTCACTGTAGGGACTGTTTGTCCATGTATTAACAAGATGAGTGTATATGTCTATGCATGAATCTTCAAGAAATCCAGAACCAAGGGGCTCGGGTGATTTCTAAGTTTGGGGGAATGCTAGCTGATTCAGGTCTGCAATTGCACAAGTTGGTACTTAATTCCTTATTTTTCAGTTTTTTAAACACTGCTTCACAGAAGACCCTTGGATGTTAGTTGGCCACTTATAGCTGGAACTGAGCCTTGAATGTAAATGGGCCACTTGTAACAGCTCCTCAACATCACAGGTTTTGGGTGGAAATCAGTCTGGTTTTGTTGAACATATGGAGCTGTGAACAAATTTTTAGATGGTGAAGATAATCCCTCCTCACTGATAACTGACTGAACCTGAAAGACATTGGCAACACAATAAGCAACTCAACCTGACCCTATATATATATATATAGGGAATGGATGCTGTCAGCCCACGGGCTGAACGCTACAGTATCATTTAATGGCTCAGATTGGATCTGTGCCAATCTGACGGTCATGATTTTATGTTATATTTGAATTTTTTTTTTTTTTTTTATAAATCCAAATCACTTAAAAATTTAGATGTAGATTATACTCATCAAGGCGCACCTAATAAAAATATTAAAAAAATAATTCAAAAAATATAAATTGACCAAAGTACCTCAGAAAATTTTTAGGGGTATTTTGGTCAATTTATATTTATC